AGAAAAAGTCATCTCTGGTCATAATCTCCTTTTCCTTTCCTCCCACTTATTTCTCACCCCCTTGTAATCAGGCTTCTGACTGCGACATTTTACTGAAAATCATCTCTCAATGCTTATAGATGTTTTATTGTCTTTTGCAGATGTTGCTTTTTTTTTTTTAAACAAATTGAAGGTTTGTGGCAACCCAGTATAAGTAAGTCATTGGTGACATTTTTCCAACAGCACGTGCTCACATTGTATCCCTGCATCACGTTTTGGTAATTCTCCCAACGTTTCAAACTTTTTCATTATTTATTATGTCTACTACGGAGAACTGTGATCAGAGTCTTCGATGTTACTATTTTAAATGTTTTGGGGCACCACAAACCATAAGACCATGAACTTAACTGATAAACGTTGTCTGTTCTGACTGCTCCATCAGCTCATCGTTTCCCATTCTTCCTCAGGCTTCCCTATGACACAACATTATTGAAAATTATTACATTAACTTAGCTGATAAATTAGCAGCAGGGTTTGAGAGGATTGACTCCAATTTTATTTGGAAGTTCTATGGCCGGTAAAATGCTATCAAAAGAGAAATCTTTTGTCGAAGGAAGAGTCAATCAATCGATATGGCAAACTTCATTGTTGTCTTATTTTAAGAAATTGCTACAGTCACCCCAACCTTCAGCAATCACTACCCTGCTCGGTCAGCAGCCATCAATGAGGCAAGGCCCCCCTCCCCAGCAAAAAAGTTACGATTTGCTGGAGGCTCAGATGATGATTAGCATTTTTTCATGATAAAGTATTTTTAATTAAGGTATTTACATTGGATTTTTAGACATAATACTATCATACACTTAGTAGATTACAGTTTGGTATAAACATAACTTTCATATATACTGGAAAACCAAAAAATTTGTGACTTGCTTTATTGTGATATTTGCTTAATTGTGAATGTCTAGAACCGAACCTTCAATATCTTTGAGATATGCATGTATTTAGGTGGCCCAGTGGATAGAGTGCCAGGCCTGGAGTCAGGATGACTCATCTTCTTGAGGTCAAATCTGACCTCAGACACTTACTAGTTGTGTGACCCTTAGCCAGTCACTTAACCCTATTTACTTCAGTTCCTCATCAGTAAAATGAGCTGGAGAAGGAAATAGCAAACCACTCCAGTATCTTTCCCTAGAAAACCCCAAATGGGGTTATGAAAAGTCAGACACGACTGAAAAATGACTAAACAACATGCCTGTACTTTCCTCATCCTTTGGTTTCTGTGACAGTGCCTTCTCTTGACTCTTCCTCCTACCTATCTGATCTCTCCTTGGTTCCCTTTGCGGGATAATCATCCATACTTTGGCCCCTAAGCATAGGCATCCCCAAAGGCAATATCCTAGGCTATCTTTACCTCTTTTCCTATACTCATCCCTTGGTGATTAAATCTACTTCCATGGTTTATCATCTCTATTCAGACAACTTAGATATGATATCTACTCTGATGTCCATCCATATATCTAGCCTAAATCTTTCCCCTAAACCGCAGTCATCCTTGACTGTATCCTCTCCTTTATTTCCCCACAGCAATCCATCACTTAGGCCCAGCAATTCCACCTTCACAACATCTCTCCCATTCTCCCTTTACTTCACTCACGCAACTACCACACTAATTCTTCCCCCCATTAAGTCTTATATTCACCACTGTAATAGAATACTAAATGGTCTCTATTCCTATAGTACCAAACCTCCTTAATACATCTTCAGTATAGCTCCTAATAACCTTCCTGAGGCACAGTTCTATCCAACCGTATTATTTCCCTACTCAAAAATCTTACTTCAAGGATAAAATAGAAATTGCTTAGCCTGCTATTTAAAATCCTTTTCGATAGGTCTCCAAATTACCCTTCCAAACTTCTTTCATATTACTCCCCTTCACTCCAGGCAAATCAGATGACTAAGTGTTCTCCAAACTAAACATTCCAACTCTGGCCTCCAAGCCTCCTTCCTCATTTCCACTTGTCAAAATATTTATCTTCCTTCAAAGGCCAGCTCGGGTGCCCCTCTGTTTTTGTGTCTCCTTGCCTGATACCCATAGCTGATAGTGCTATCTTTCAGGATGTATCAACCTACATTTGAATCACTTGGGGTACAGTGGCCTAAAAGTCTTAGTATAATTTTAAGCTTTAATAACGTAAAAAGATCTAAAGTTTTAATAGCTTAAAACTACATTAAGACTTTTGGGATGCCCAGGATGTTAAATGGAGCAATGAACTTGGTCAGTAGGTCAGTCAATAATAATTAGGTGCCCACTATGTGCCAGGTACTGTGTTAAGCATTAGAGCCTGATGTTAAAAGACCCTGGTTTAGGTCATTTTTTTTTAAAAGGAGCTTAGATTTGGAGCTGGAAGGGATCTTACAGGTCATCTAGTTCAGTGGTGTCAAACTTATACAGAAATGATCTTTTCATGGCAAATTGACTTAGAAAACCACGGTAAGCATCTTGAAACTATATTTTAATCCTATCCAGGCTACACTTATCCCGTCCACTGAGTTTGACATCTCTGGTGTAGTCCAACCCTCTCATTTTGTAGATAAGTAAATTAAGGCTCAGAGAGAGATTAAGTGACTTTCTCAGGGTAACTGGAAAGTCATCGACAGAGCCAAAATTCAAACGAGTTTGACTCTAGCTAGAGCCGGCACTCCTTTCACTGGACTATGCTGTCTCTGACTTATAGATGATGTGACTAAGGGCAATTCAACACAATTCTAAGATCTCAGAGCTGGATGAGACCTCAGGGAGTATCTGGTCCACTCTGTACCTGATAGGAATCTCCTCTCCAACATTCCCAACAAGTGATCTTCAGTCTTTTCTTGAAGGTGTCTAGTGAGGGAGAACCCGCTACTTCCCCAAGCAGCTCATTCTGCTTTGGGATAGTTTTGGTTGTTAAGATGGTTTCCATAAATCTAAATTTGCCCCTGTACAACTTCTCATAGCAATAGTTGGAGCAGAAGATAAAAAATAATCATCAACTGTGTAGGGAGCAAACCAAAACCTCACCTCTTACTAGTACTGTTATGTGGACTGTGCAGATCTGGAGAGAAAGGGTCAACTTTTTAGTGATCCTGAGCATTTTCCCCTTGTTAGGGACCTCTACCTCAAGGTAGTACTATAAATCTGGAAGACTGTATAGGTTTCTGGGGGGGGATCAGGCTCATTTGAGGGGGTAGGTGGCTTAACTCTCTGACAACCTTAAGTTGCTTGAGCTTTGAGTCAGGTGTGGCAGAGTGGATTGAGCTCAACCTGGGAGACTGTACAAGTCCCTGGGAGATGTGGAGACCCATCAGAATGGGACAGGCTTGGGCAGGAGTCCCTTTGAGTATTCTATCAGATAAAATAAAGTCTGTCTTATATTTAATATCTTGTTAGCCTGTGTGCTTGCATGGGAACTGAAGGCATTTTTCTTTTCTGGTGGAGACTTAGATACTAGTTAACTTCTATGGTGGAAATTTTAAACCTTGTAGAGACACAAGTCAAAGGGCAGGATGAGAAAGTAACCCCCAAGATTGAATTTAGTTTTGGTTAACCCAGAACTGAGGTTCTGGGTTACTGGTCTATAGCTTAATGCCTTATCCAAACATCAGCTATGAACATCATTATTATCATTGTTATAAAACTTGCCCAGACTCAGTTGACTTTCTGTTTCGGATTTCTTCCTCATCTTACTCTGTATCCTTCACACTCTGGATTAGAGTGTGATCACACACTTCTTTAGCCTGGTGTGGTAAAAAGACACATGAATCAGTCAGAAGATCTGAATTCCTGTCTCACTCTTTCCACTGACTTGCTCTGTGGCCTTGGGCAAGCTACTTAACATCTCTGTGGGCCTCCACTATATGACCTATTTCCAGAGTCTAAAGCATCAATGGACTTCTCCACTTACACCAACCCTTGCTTTCTTCACCTTGTCCCCAACACACACTTAACTTGCCAGAGAGAAGGAAATGAGGGGAGGCACCTTGGCACAGGGGAAAGACCAGGGGCTCTGAAGTCAGAGGGCAGTGGAGTGGGTGGACCTGGGTTCAAATCCTACTTCTGGGGCCCCTAAGTCACATATCCCTGCACCTCTAGGCCTCAGTTTCCTCATCTGTAAAATGAAGGTGGGCTGGACTAAGGTGCCTCTGAGATCTGTTGCAGCCCAGACCCATGTTCCTCAGGTAAGGGAAGAGGGCAGGGTTGGAGATGGAGCCAGGGCCTGTGGACACAGACACACACAAACACACACACACAGAAACAGACACACACAGACACAGACAGACACACACAGACACACACAGACAGACACACGCTGACACAGACACACAGACACACAGACACACTGACACAGACACACAGACACACACACAGACACACACAGACACAAACATTTGCAGACACACGCTGACACACAGACACACTGACACAGACACACAGACACAGACACAGAGACACACACACACAGACACAGACACACAGACACACTTACAGACACACAGACACAAAGACACACACACACACAGAAACAGTCACACACGGACATAGACACACACACAGACACACACACACACACAGACAGACACACAGACACAAACACATGCAGACACACGCTGACACACAGACACACAGACACGCAGACAGACAGACAGACAGACAGACAGACACACACACACACACACACACACACACACACACACACACACACACACACACACACACACACCCTCCCCCATCAGCTCCCAAGGCTTTCCCCTCTTGGCTCTGGACCGAGCACCACTCGGGTCGAGTGGGGGCTGGGGCGCATACGCGCCTCTCCGTCTCCGCCCCCTCCCGTCCCCGCCCTCTTCCTCCTCCTCCAGCCCCGCCCCTTCCCTCGGGCTCGCGCATCCTGGTCCAGCTGGGCGCGGGCGCGGGCTCGTCTGGGTCGCGGCGGCCGGAGCTGCTCCTGCCCCTGCTCCTGCTCCCGGTCCACCCGCCTCTCGGAGCCATGGCGGAGCCGGGCTCGGTGCCGCCCCACCTGTTGCTGCCCCCGGGGCTGCTGGAGCTGTGCGTGCTGCTGGGAGCCCCCCGGGAGAGCCTCCGCGATGTGGAGCAGGTGAGCGGGGACCGACGCGGGGATGAAATGGAGTGGGGGCCCCCAGTGCAGCCCGTCCCTTCTCTGACCCACACCTCGACCCATTTTGCCGACAGGGAGACTGAGGCCCCGAGAGGCACTCTCTGGGAATGTCCGGAGCGGTTGCAATAAGGGACTGTCCCAAGGTCACACAGCGAGTGAGAGTAGAAAACTCACTTCTCTTAACTCCCTGTCTCGGACTTTCGGTAACACTTTGTTTCTCGACACTCGTTTTCCTTGTTGTTTGTTATCAAAGTTAACCTTGTAACAGCAGCTGCAACCTTTTCCTGATGCTCTTCTTTTCCACCGACCTCCCTGCTACTGGGATACTCATCTTCTCCCACCCCATCCCCCAAGCTCCCCTGGTGCCTTCCCTCCCTCTTCTTCCTTCCTTGTCCAAGGAGTTGTTTATTTTTGCATTGTATAAGCCACACTGGGGACACACTGATCTCGAACCCAGACAGGATGTCTTAGACCAGATCATCTCCAAGGTGATCTCAGCTCTGACTGTCACCGTCTATTTGTTAGGCCTTGGACATCGTAGGGATGCGCCCTGACTTGGTGGGTTTGTTCGCGGTGGATGGTTCTGTAAGAGAGCCCCATTTTTTCTGCCTGGTGAAATTCTGTAAGACCCCCCTCTTCCCTGAAGCTTTCCGCCCTCATCTAGCCAGAAATGATCTTTGCCACTTCTGAGTCTCCTTAAAATGACATTCTTTCCACCTTGACCTATAGTCCCAATAAAAATCCCTTTGGATTTGGAGAGCCTTTAAGATTGACTTTTCTTTGCAGTGCTTAAAAGTTCTGGTTTTTAATGGGTTTTTGTTTTGTGTTTGTACTGATTTCATTAGGGTAGGAGAGCTTAGGGTGTGGAACTTCCTTTGGCACAAACACCTTTGCAACTATTTTTTTTTTAAATTTGATTTTGTGTCTGAGAGGTGCCTGGTGCATGAAGAGGATTGATAACTTGTCATACTTCCTATAGGTGTGACAGGCCTTCCTGATCAAGAGACCTTCGCTGTATACAATATGTCATGCTGCCTCTAAAAAAAAAAGCAACATTTACATAATAGATATGTATTGAATTTGAACCCCATCTTGGGTCTTTTCCTCATGACCATCCTCAGAGGTATTCACTCCATGGACTACAAACCTACCTTAGTAATTGCACCCCTAGGTCAGGTTGTCTCTTAGCCTCTGCCAGCTGGAGAGTTATGGAACAAGAAAGGACCATCGAGGATAGAGTGTGCAAACCACATGGTTTTTAGTGGAGGTAGGAAACACGTAAGGAGCATGTGAATGATAGAGGGGGTGGGAAAGAGGTGAGAGTTGCTTTTCAGATCAAAGTTAATTCTGAGGTTGCTGTAGTATGAGAAAGTCAAGAATAGGGACAAGTAGCCCTGTGCCCACTAAACAGTTTCCTCATCTGTCAGATGACTGGGTTGGACTTGGGGGATTAGCTTTCCAGACTTTACATTCTGGGGCTCCATTCCCCACTATAGTTAGAGATATGAGTAAAATGGAAAGGACCTTAGAATGGGAGCCTGGAGACCTGGCCCTGGAACTAGGTGCTTGTGTAACCTTGATAAGACACTTGACCGCTGAGGCCTTGGGCTTCCTTGTCTGCAAAATGAGGTTATTGGAGGAGATAATCATGAAAGTCCCTCCCAGCCCTAACTTTCTGGGATTCTATGAGCAAATGATCATGTCCCCTAGTTCTCTTCTTCAGTCTTCTCCATGGACAGCCCCTCATAGTGACAGTTGGAGTCACTTGCACGGTTTTACCAATGTGATTCCTCAACTGCAGCAATGATGCCTGTAATGTAACATTACCTGGAAGGCAGGGGAGGGCACTGAGAGGCAGGAAGCTGTGGATTCAAGTCTCAACTTTGGCCTATGCTGGTTGTGTGACTCAGAGCAGATCACTTAACCCCTCAATATCCCTGAGTCAGCTCTCCAAGTTACAAAGAAGGTGTCATTTGCATTGGGGAAGAGGAAGCTTCTCATTGGGAGGTTCCTACACTGTTGAAATCACTGGTCTAACTCACATCCCTCTCCTACCCCTACCACCAGGATAGCAATTACTTGTATTTGGTCCTGCTACTTCCTAAATTCATTTGCATCTTTTTTTCCTGTAAATATTCCTGTGAGATCTATTATTCTTTATTGCTTTGTATTGAGGTCACGTAGTAGAGAGAGAATAAGTCTTAGATTTAAGAATCCCTGGGTTCACATCCTACCTCACACACTTCCTAGTGTGTCATACTTCTTTTGAGCCTCAAATTACTCATCTGCAAAATAGGCATAATAATAATTCCTATAGTCACTTATAAGGCTATTGTGAAGATTACCCAGATAACTTTGTAAAGCACTTTACGAACTTCAAAGCGCTATCAAAAAATTCATTGTTATCATTATTATTATCTTATTTATGTGCATCTGTCATCACACCCCAAACGAATTGTAAGTTCATTTAAGTCAGATTGAATACCTGTAGTCTTTTTGTACTGGTAGCACAGTGCAACATCTTGTTTAAATATTCAGTTAATTTTTGTTGTTAATCCATCCAACTCTTCATGACCCCATTTGGGGTTTTCTTGGCAAAGAAACTGGAGTGATTTGTCATTTCCTTCTCCAGATCATTTTACATATGAGGAAACTAAGGCAAACAGGGCTAAGTGACTTGTCGAGGGTCACACAGTATCTGAGGCTGTATTTGAACTGAGGTTCTCCTGACTCCAGGGCCAGCACTCTATCCACAGAGGCACTATATAAATGTTATTTATTATTATTATTATTTAGAATAGTGTAAATTCACATACATGCAGCTGCTTTAGGGGGTTCATTGTTCTCACTGATAGGAGCCTAACTATACCCTGTTGGACTTTGGGCAAATCACTCACATCTCAAAATTGCTTAATGCTCAGAGATTATCATCTGTGAGGAATTCCTATTCCAGCAAATATCAATCAATATATTGTCCCGTAGTTAATTACTTTTGTTGTTGTTCCTCCTTCCATTCTTGAAGAGAACCAATGACGTCACATGGGCGATGTCTTGACTTGAGAGTGAATTGGATTTAAGTCATCAGCCTCACTCTCTCCTCCAGAGTCATTAAAGTGGCAAGACAGAAATGAAGAGGACTGGCAATGGCCCTGCATGCAGTGGGTGACCTTGGCCTTTCTCAGTGAAGGTCTTTCCCAAGTCTCAGTTTGTCTGAGAGTTACTTTTGTAGAGTCAGGTCTAAGATCCAGGACGTCCGGTGCTTTGGGGACTAAAGTAAGCTGGTTTTCTCACTTGTGATGGCAATCCCCTTTTCTCTGATTCTACCTCACCTCATTACTGCCAAGGGAATGTCTGTCACTATCTTTGTGGAAGCTATAGAGGTTCAGATATGTCCATTCTGCTGTGGATTTCTCTAATTCCATGCTGCCTTCCTTTCCTACCCTTTCTCTGTTAATTCTTAAGAGTTCTTAATAATTCAGATTTCTAGTTGAACTTCTCCATTATTCTGTTCTTGCTGGTATTAGACACAAAGCTGGGTATATTGTAATTTTTCCTTAGTGGGTGAGTGGTGTGGGAATAGTAGCAATATTTTTGATGTATTAGTTAGGTTCAATATTGACTCTGCCACTGAATCTTTATGCTTGTCATTTAATTTATGGTTTAATTTAATCATCTGTAAATTATTCTAATTTTTAAAGGGGGCTGTCAATTGAAAATGGAGGCTATAGTCAGTCAATAAGCATTTATTAAACGCCTTCTATGTGCCAGGCACTGTGCTAAGCACTGGAGATACAAAGAAAGGCAAAAGACAGTCCCTGCTCCCAAAATGCTCATGGTCTAATGGTTATAGGGAAATAACATCCATTTTGGGGGGGCATTTTACAACTAGGAAGCATAGTGGATAGAGTCATAGAAGATAAGAAGATAAAAGTTCAAATCTAGCCTCAGACACTTACTAACAGTGTGACCCTGTTCAAAGCAGACCTCTTTCTGCCTCAGTTTCCTCAACTGTAAAATGGGATAATTATATTACCTACCTCTCAGGGTTGTCATGAGGATGAAATGTGAAAATGCCTATAAGGTACTTAGCACATAGTAGGTGCTTAATAAAAGCTTATTCCTTCTTTCCCAATTTTCTTCCCATAAACCTATTGAAGTGAGTAGGGCAAATATTATTATCTCTGTTTTATGGATGAAGACCACTGAAATCACAGTGCTTATACAAATCAGGGCTGGGGTTCCAACTCAGAACTCTGACTCCAAGTACAGCACAGTTTGCATCTTACTACATTGCGTTTCTAATAGAAATTAATGAATTTGAAATGAGTCATTTCATCTTAATGTCTCAGTTTATTATTTCTAATTGTATCTTGGTGAAAAAAGCTGTCTTCTATTAAGAAACTATCTCTGTTTCTTTTGTTTTTCCCAGAATAGAAATACATCCCTTGCCCTTCTCCTCCCCCCCCCCAGCTTTGTGCTGTCTCACTTCCTCAAACATGCCAAAATGGCATCTTTCCCATGTCTTTGTATTTTGAAATAGGAAATGACATGCTTTCAATTACTGTACTTCTTACTAGATCTAAAGTATTTTGCTTTTTGGATGGTTGTAGCCTGTCCACTTAGTTGTGTTGGATTGGGACATCATTCCCAGAGAGTAGGATGAATCCATTTGAAATGTCTATAAGTGGTGCATGACAAATTGAAGCCGACTGTGGAGCCCTTCTCATTTGATGGAAAGGGCTGCCAGCATAAGTAGAAAAGCCCCTTTTATTCTTTTTTTCTACATCGTTAAGAGGGGCAGAAGTAGCCAAGTAGTAGGAGAAAGGGCAGTGGATGGGCAACCGCTGGCTTTTAAAGCCGCCATAAATGCCATTGTTCATGAAACGTTTTATTTGGTTTTGTTTTTATAACACAATTAATCAGGGTGGCTAAATCATTTCCATTTGTTTTGGTGGCTTTGTCATAATTCTCCACAACAT